CATGGTGCCTACTTCCACTCTCCATATTGGGATTTGCTCATGCTGTCAACAACTGCTCTGGATTCATAACAGCTGCCCTTTGAGTTCATAAGACACTGCTTCCATGTAGCCATCCACCACCTCTCGCTCTTACACTTTCTTCCATGTCTTCCACAGCAATCCCTGAGCGTTGAGAGGAAGAGTTCTCGTAGACATGTCCAGGGAGGGTTAACATTCTGAATCTCTTAGTCTCTGTGCCTTGACCAATTATATCTGTGTTCCTCTCAATCGACTACAATTTGAAGCTCCACCGATGAGGGCTGAGAGATGGATTTATAATGATAAGCCAGTAGGAGTTGGTTTAATACTCTATCTGGTTAGGAGAAGAATCGTTGTAGGTTTTCCTATAGGGTCTTGTAGCCACAGGTTTTTGGCCCCTATAATAGTGCCACCTGTGGGCTTCATTTTGTGGAGCAGATCTGACATCCAGTCAAAAAGTGGTCACTCCCATGGTGTTGATGACACTTGCTCCAGTGGGCCTGTCTTGCCAGACCATTCGTTATGGTAGCTTGCAGAATTCACAGCTGGGAAAGGTTGATGACTACTTTTCTCTTCCAGCAGCATGGATCGCACCTTCCAGCACTTGAAAGCTTGCCAGTAGGGATAAAGCTTCCACATCCAGAATTTATATTCATGCATTCCTTTAAATTACTATGTATGAAGACATATGTTTGTGCACACACATTCAAGCATGATGTGCTTGGAGTCCAGAAAAGAGCTTTGTGGAGTTGGTTCTGTCTTTCCATCTTTTCTTGTGTTCTGGGGATTGAATGCAGGTGGCCAGCTTGTGTAACAAACTCTTACCCTCTGAGCCATCTCACCTGTCCGTCGGTTCTATTGAATATATTGATCTGGAGTTCATGAATTTAAGGACTCTTTTGTATGAATTTGATTCTTAGAGTTTTAAAAGGCTGTGTTGTTGTTTTTTTTTTTTTTTCTAAACCTTTTACTTAGAGTTATCCTATCCTATTCTTTTTTTTTTTTTTTTTTTGACGTGTTAATGGGTTGAGTTTAAGACCTTGTAGAGGCCAGGCCTCTATATCCTGAGCCCCAGTTTATTAAGTTCTAGTGAAGGTTTTAGAAAATTTAATTTATATTGAATTGAAGCTGTTTACTACCACTTAATGATATTTATTTCTTATACTCAGTAAATATTAATCATGATCTTTACATCCGAGACTTCATGTATACTTTCTTGGCTCTTGCTAGTCTATGATTCTGATGAAATAGTTGCTCTTTAAGTTCAATTAATACCATATGGTTATCCTTTTCCTACTTATTTGAATCTAGAAGGGTTTTTTTTTTATTGTGTTTTGTTTTTGCATGCATTTGTGTGTGTACAAGTTTACATGTGTGTGTGCAAGAGTGTGCTGGCACATGTATGTGCAGGCATGTAGAGACATGTAATTAACATGATGTGTCATCCTGTATCACTCTGTGCTTTATTTGCTGAGGCTGAATCAACCACAGTCAGTTGAGCTGGCCAGCTTGCCTTGAGGACCTCATCTCTGCTTCTGTGTGCTGAGACTGCTGATGGTCACCATGCCTGCCTGGCTGCCTGGTGCATGCTGGGAACCTGAACTCTGTTTCTCATTCTATTAGTTTATAGAGACTGTAATCCATCTTTTTTTTTTTTTTTTTTTTTTTTAAATTTTGGCTTTTAGAGACAGGGTTTCTCGATGTAGCTGTCCTGGACTCGCTTTGTAGACCAGGCTGGCCTCGAACTCACAGAACTCCACCTGCCTCTGCCTCCTGAGAGCTGGAATCACAGGCATGCCATGTGCCCGGTTTATGATTCATCTTTATAGAGGCATACCTGCCTCTATCTTTTGAGTGCCTGCTGTTTCTCATTTTGTAGCTTTGTGCTATTTTCTCACACATTCAGTAAATTCTTTTTACAAGGATTTGTAAAGATACCTACTACCAGTTGTGACAATGACTTTATAGAATTATTTTCATGATTCTTAACTCAAATTACTCTCACCAGCATTTCTGATAGTGTTTAAATGTTAAATCTAATATTTTTCTATTAAGCGTAAAATTAGCTTTTGTGATTAAGTTCCCTTTAATTTAAAGAGTCCAATTTTTTATTAATTACAGTTTATTCACTTTGTATCCCAGCTATAAAGAGTCCAGTTTTTTAAAAATGCTGTAGATCCATGATTTACTGCCATTTCTATTTATGCACACAGATATTATCATTCTTATCTTCATTCAGCTTTGCTTTCTAGAAGGTAAACATCATTGAGTCATAACTAAAGTTTATTTTAAAGTATAGTTTTGCCTTGTACTTTTCTTCCTTTTGGATTTTATATAAGTTATTTTTAATTGCTCTGACCAAAACATTTTACAAGAAGCGCTCGCTCTTATTTTTGCCTTTATATTCCTTTATTTTGGCCAGTAGTTGAAGGTGACAGAGTCCATCGTGGTAGGGAAGGTGTGTGGCAGGGGTGTGACTATAGTGAGAAGGTGGAGAGGGACAGATGCTGGTGCTAGCATGCTCTTTCTTCAGTTCAAGACCGTAGCCCGTGGGGTGGTGCTGTTCACATTCAGGTGCTTCCTCTTCTATACCCTTCTAGAGATATCCTCAGGGCACCTAGAGATGTTTCCATCAGGACTCGAAAAGCAGTTGACAGTGAAGAATCCCCACAGCATTAGAGTTTTCTTGTTGGTTTTTGTCTTTGTTAATTTCTTTCTTTTCCCTTTCTTTCTTTCTTCTCTTCCTCCTCTGTGTGTGTGTGTTGTTTGTTTGGTTGTTTGTCTTGAGACATGATGTCTCCATGTAATACATAGAAAGCTCTGTCTGCCACTGCCTCCTGAGTTCTGGGATTAAAGGTATGCATTCTCATCTCCAGATATTCTTGTTAAGTTTTTATATCAAAACCATTGTCAACAATTTTCAATAACAGGACTATTAGAACTGCACTTTCTGTGTACAAAGAACCACAAGCGGTGGTCAAACACAGCACCGCCACGCAGAGAGTAGGTGAGTGACAAGGAGCAGCCTCCAGTCAGACTGCTGTGAAGACTGCAGGTCTTGACTTACACCTTCTTTACATGTATGTGGGGTTTTTATTTGTTTGTTTGGTTTGGTTTTTTTGTTTCTGCTTTTTGTTGTTGTTGTTGGGGTTTTGTTGTTTCAAGACAGGGTTTCTCTGTGTAGCCTTGGCTGACTTGGATTTGTTTTGTAGACCTGTCCTTAAACTCCCAGAGATCTGCCTGTGTCTGCCTCCCTGAGTGCTGGGATTACAGGTGTGCAGCACTGTTCTTTAAGGCTTGTTAAGGCTTGTTAAGGCTTGTTAAGGCTTAACTGTTTGTTAAGGCTTGAAACTGCTGCTTTGGGAGCATGTTGTCTGTTCAGGTGCTGGGGACACTCTGGGGCATGCACGTGCTAGGCAAGGGCTTTACTGCCCAGCTCCACAGAAGCTATTGCTCTGAAGTGGAAATATTCTCTCTCTCATTCTCTCTCTCTCTCTCTCTCTCTCTCTCT